TCTTTACTTTATTTATTTATTTTTATGTGGTGCTAAGCATTGAACCCAGAGCATCACACGTGCTAGGCAAGTGCTCTACCTCTGAGCCACAACCCCAGCCCCAGATACTGGCATATTAATTGGTATATTTGTAACCCAGGGAACAAGGAAGCATTAAAAAAAGGATCCTTATAGTGGATCTTATTTATTTTTTCACACAATTAAATCAATGAAATCTAATCTTCAAAATTTTGTAATTTGCCAGATCAAAAATTACTAGGTAAATAGACTTCTGCTAAATATAATTTAGCAGAAATTAAATTAAATTTAAATTCCCAAAGTAACAGGATATTTATTTTATTTTATTTTTTAGTTGTAGATAGACACAATATCTTTATTTTATTTATTTATTTTTATGTGGTGCTGAGGGTCATGCGTGTGAGGCAAGCGCTCTACCACTGAGCTACAACCCCAGCCCCGTAACAGGGTATTTTAATATATAAAACAGAGATGTTTTCTATCTAAAAAACCCATAGCATTTCTAGCTATTTAAGGAATATCACTTTTAAGTGACAATACTTCCAATGAATATATAAAACACAAACGTAAAATGGATCCCCTATAAAATCTATGTTTAACTCTTGTTTTTTCAGCTGTTTATCTCTACATCATTACCTCTTTTCTGAAAAACTTCACAGAGCTATAAGAAGGCAATGTTGGGGGCTGGGATTGTGGCTCAGTGGTAGAGCGCTTGCCTAGCATACATGAGATGCTGGGTTCGATCCCCAGCACCACATAAAAACAAATAAAATAAAGGTATTGTGTCCATTTATAACTAAAAAAATATTTAAAAAAAAAAAGAAGGCAATGTTGGATTTACAATTATACATAATAGGATTAGGAAGAATTTCTATTCAGGAAGTAATTTTCTTGGAAAAGAAAATACTTACTAGAATTTCAAGATCGTCTACTAGGGCTGAGGTATTTCTCGGTTATAGAGCACTTGCCTAGCATACATTAAAGCTCTGGGTTTAATCCCCATGACCCACACACAAAAAAAGATAGTCTAGTAAATGGAAATATTCCTGCTTAATAATGTCTTTTTTTTCTTGGCTGTTATTACTAAAAATGTGTGAGGTAAATGTTTTTTGTTTTTTAAAGGACTTGAAAGTGATAAATAGTATCTTTGTTTCTAGACCAAAAAGATTTGTATATATAGTCACTTTCTAAGGAATGAAAAAAATAATCTTGAACAATAATGTCAATAATTTAGCTTCTGAATCTAAAGATGATGCTGTTGATATACATATTATTTCTATTGACATATGCCAAACCCATTTATAACACCTACCTATTTAAAAACTTAGCAACAAAAAGCAGATAAAGCTAAATTTACAGATTATACACTGTTTTTTTTTTCTTTTCATTTTTAATGTTAAAAGCAGAATGGGGGCTGGAGGTATAGCTCAACAGTAGAGTGCTTGCCTAGTGTGCCTAAGGCCCTAGGTTCAATTCCCAGCATGAGAGAGAGAGAGAGAGAGAGAGAGAGAGAGAGAGAGAGAGAGAGAGAGAGAGGCTAATCTTAAGGGATAATGACATTAATAAACATTAGAGAAAAAAAATATGACTGACTTGAAAAGTTTTTTTGTTGTTGTTGTTTTTGTGTGAATATGTATAAGTTGGGTTTTATAAAACACAAAACTCCCTGATTCTTCCCACGTAATTGACAACCATCATTTATTGTTACTGGCTGTTTTTCTTTTCCTCTTAAAATAACTTAGGGATGAAATGAATATTTTCTAATTTAGGAAATGACAACTATTCTAATCATTGCTTTAATACCAGGCTTATGATATAAAAGTTATACCTTTAAACTATAAAATAAAACATAAAATGAGAGTCTACAAAAATCCAAAAGAACTCAAAGTTACATCAAATGGTCATAATTTTCTCTTTCTAAAACACTGCCAAATGAACTCTGTAGAATATGTACTCTTCACAGTTCAAATGTAATACCTTATCACACACTGACTCTATCACATACTACAAGCTGTAGGCAAAGTTTAGGTGCCAAAAATGTAAGTCCTATCTCATGTCAAAAAGATATCTAGATTCACTAATTACAGGGTTAGAAAAACTACTCAGGTTTGACCACTTTATAAGTCACTAAATAACCTTTCAGTTTTCATTAAATAGCAAATGCAAAGTGGGGTCTCCTGAAGAGACCCTACAAAGAGGTTATTCAAATGACAGAAGAGACCCAAAACAGAAGCATAAAAGGACAAGGTTATCTGATGAAGCACCAACTGTCAGAGGGAATGCTCAGTAACAGGAATGAGACACATTTGGGGAACCTATCATCACAGAAACTTATGAGCCTGAACTCCACTTTTTATTCACTCATTTATTTACTTTTTTCAGTGCTGGAGATTGAACCCAGGGCCTTACACATGCTAAACAAATGCTCTACCACTGAGCTACATCTCCAGCCCCCTAAATTCGATTTTTTAATGTTGTCATTAGGCAAAAAAATAATTACATAATAAACATTAGATAAAGATTTATTGAATAATAATTTATTTTTTTGTCCTTTCAATCTACTTACAGGGCATATTATAACTATTATCATTTGGTTGACTGATAAACAGTCATAAAAATACATTTCCATACAATAATGTTACTGGTATTATGTATGATATTCTTCAGGCTAAAGTGTTAAGAATCAGCTCCTCTTGAGATCAAGAAACTGAAGTAGAAGTTGGGCATGGTGGTGTACTCAGGAAGCTAAGGTAGGGATGATCTCAAGTGGTTCAAGGACAGCCTTGCAACTTAGTGAGATCCTGTCTCAACTAAAATAAAATAAAAAGGTCTGGGGATGCAGCTCAGTGGAAGAGCACCCATGAGTTCAATCTCTAGTATCTCAAAGAAGAAAAGAAGAAACAAGTAGAATAGACAGCTGGATTTTTGGAGAGGAAAGCACATTCCATGGCAAAAAGCTGCTCCGGAAATACCAGCTTACTTTCAGATACACAGAGCAAATAATAACCAAAACTGGTTTTCTGCGGACTATATACATCCCTTAGAAGCTAAATATGACTTAGAGACATTTGCTTTCTTTTTATTTAATGGTCAGTGTCTTTATTTTGTGGCACAGAATGATTACTAACTCTGGGTTATAGAGAGCACCAGGCATCATTAATCTTTTTGTGCCTAGTTACCCAAAGTAGAGTCCCAAACCAATAGAATTGGCATCACCCAGGAATTAGTTAGAAGTGCAGAATCACAAATCCTACCCCAGACCTACTCAACACGCAGCTATAATTTAACAAGACTCCCAGGAGGTTGAGAAGCACTGCTCTAATGGACAGAACATTTGAGCAAATCAGAAGACCCAAGTTCAAGCCTCAGATCCATGATTTAGCAGGGTTCAAAAATGGACAAGGGCAAGAAAGTATTTTGGGTTTGGGGGGCGGTTTTTAAATTTTTTTTAACTGAGTTTCCTCAACTATAAACTAGGATTTTATTTATATATACATGTACCAAACAGGTGGTTTCAAGGATCAAATAAAATGATGGATGTTCTTTGTAAATTATCAAGCACTATAAAAACACAAGACCCTACTGCTAATTACAAATACAGCTTAATTACACCTGTCCTCATTTGATCTCTCATAAACCATCAGAGACATGTAATTAAATTATACTATATCATTACGATAAAAGGCTTCTTCATATGACACAAACCTTTCAAGCCCTAACCATAAGGTTGCTAAATCTCTGTTTTTATCAAAGCTAATTTCAAGTGGGCCTCCTAGAGGGAGACTCTTATCTGTTAACACTGATATTATCTTGCCCTAAACATCTGATTTGCCCTTTGGGGGCTTTACTATAATTTCCAAGACAACAAATGAACTAGTTTAAGCCACTACCAAGCCTGAAAACTGAATTCCTTGAAAAGGCTGCTTTTTGCTAGAGTCCTTGGCTTTTTTGGCCCATTAAACCATAGCCCCATTTTCTTCAAAGCACAGAACATGGCTACATAAGGGTGTTAAGCGAAGAAGCCAATGCTCTAGCTTTCTCCCTAATGCTCCTTACCATAAGGAAAGACCCGTGAATCTTAAAAAATGAGAATTTCCTAATCTGCATCCACAGGTTAGTTAACACTTTTTTCTTGCACATCAAATGAATGTCAAGGAGCTTCTTATAACCAGAGCTTTGTTATTCAAACTTGGTTGCCTTTAAAAATGAAAATCTACTAATAGATCAATTTATTCATGAGTTAGTTACTATCAAACCTTGGAAATCAATTTGCATGATAAAATGCTAAAGCCATTAGCATTAGAGCTGGTACCTTCAACTGGCTTTCCAGCTGTGCACCCAAATCCTTTCCAAAGACTGCAACTTCTCTCTCCTGTCTGAGGTGGGTCTGCAGCCCCTGTTCCCACTGTTACCACTCATGCCACTGAGAATCTTATTGAGAATTCAGACTCCATGCAGGGGAACAGAAAAGGATTAACACATGCAACTGTGCAGCATCACTTTTAGACACAGTTTAACTTAAAAAGAAAAAAAAAAGATCTGCCCAGCACAAGAACAATCCCCAAGTCAGCCCAAGAGCAGAGAATTAGTACTATCAGGTGATCAGAAACAAAACCAAGGCAAAATCCCACCAAATTCAATATTCAGAGTAATTATTAAAAGGATCACTATTGATTCAAAAATCACTACCCAAAAGGCAAAGGTACCAGAAAAATTCTCATTATTTGAGACTGTGATAGAAAAAGCCCCTGATTGTGATAGAAGTAAAGACTTGACTTTAAGACATAAAAGGCACAAAATAGTACCTCTATGAACAGTTGTTCAGGCTAAAGTTGCCAGGAGATTTAAGTTAGTCCTCCATTAAGAAAATGAAAGAAGAGTGTGTGACACAATGAGAGCCACAAAAGCTCCTCAGTGGGCACAGGGAAGGTGTGGAACAGCTACCCTTTCCTAATGCTAGCAGATTCAGGACAGATTCCTACCAGTCTTTGCTGCTCCAAGAGAAGATCTGCTTCTTCCTTTTCCTTTTTGTACAGGATCTCCATCTCTTGTAACCTAAAAGGAAAAAATAAAAGTATATAACAAGAAAGAATAAATTATGAAATCACTGAGTGGCTTCACAAATGTATTATTGTTGAAGAGAAAGTCATGTGGGCCATATATTTGTGGATTACCTTTTCTCCATCTCCTGTTTCATATCAATTCCTTGTTTCTCCAGAAGCTCTCTCTGGGCAAAAGTCCAGTCCACAGGCTCAGACGGGGTCTCAGCTGAGGGAGTCTTCTCCCGCTCAGCCCGTGCTTGTTCCGGATGATTAAAACGAAAAACGTGGTTTTTACCCATGATGATGCGGTTTCCTAGCACAAAACAGAAATAGGGTTAAGAAATCATTTTTAAATTTTTTAAAATTTTACTTTCATTTTTTAAAGAAATAATTTTTTAAATGTGTAGTTTCTAGTTTAATAACCTCACTCCCTTAAAGCTTCTGACATTTTACAAGAACATAATTCTAGTGCCAACAATAATAGAGTCAAAAGTGAGAGTAGCAGGCTGGGGATGTGGCTCAGTAGTGGAGAGCTTGCCTAGCACGCATGAGGCTCTCTGGGTTCAATCCTCAACACCATAAAAAATAAAAATTACAAAGAAAAAGAAAAATCTGAGAGTTGCTCACACAAGCCATCTGCACACTGCTGAAGACTTCAAACCTCTCCCAGTCTCACCTGAGCGCAACTGAACAGGCTGGGTCACCCTCTTGCCATTCACGTAGGTTTCTGAGCGCTCACAGGGCTCCAGGGTTACAATAACTAGGAGGAACACAAACTGATGTTATCACCACAAACCAATGTAATTACTAATGGAAAACAATTGACCATCGGGACTTATGGTAATTAGAATAGACTCCTACAACCAATCAAGTGGCTAAAGCATCTATAAGGTACTTCTTTTTGGGTATATTTAGTTGTAACACTAGAAGTTGTTTGGAGCTAAGACAGAAGTATTAAACTAAATTTTATCAACCTCTGAAGAAGATAGGAAATATTAGTTTCAACAATATTCTGACAGTTCAGTCAATAAAACAAAAACCAGTAGAAATGTTAAGTTTGAGATGTAGGTAATAACCAGAAACTCAAGATTAAAAGCTAATATTTCAGTTAAGGGAAGAAGCCAGAATACCAACACAAAAACACCATTAGATTATTGCTGTTTTGTTAATAGCCCAGGCAAAAATCAGATCAACTTTTTCTCCCCTATGGATAGATGGATGAATGGATGGATGGAAGAAAGAGAGAGAAAGAAAAAAGAAAAGAAAATCTACTCAGCTAAGACTTGAAGTTCTTCAAATCTCCTATTATCCTGGATATTTACTCTTCTCTTACTTTTCTATTAAATAATTAACATTCAAGACCAAGCCTAACTGCTTATGTCCTGCTCAGTTCTTGGCAGTAACAAAAGGGCTCCTTTGTCCATGCTATTTTCATGTAAAGCAGCTATGTCCTTTCCCGAATTTATAAGCATCCCAGCTTCCTCCATATTTCAGAATAAGATTATATAACAAGTACCACTAACAGAGACAGGGAATACCAAGTCTTAAGGATTTCTCATACTATAGAATAAAAAATTACAGAAGAAACTCAAACCAGGAACTCTCACCTTCACCACTGTTGTTTCTCTCACTCCGGAAGATACAATGCTCCTCTTTAATGTGGGCCCCACTCAGTACTATGTCCTGGCGCCGCTCAGCATCTGCTTGGCCAACCCTGAACACAAGAGAAAGTGTTTCCCAGGGAAATTCAGACACAAAAAGCACTTAGAAACAATGAACCTCTTTCTCCCAAAGAATATACTTTGGAATGTACAAGAAAACCTATTGCTTTTTTTCTTTCCAAAGCTTTCAATTGCAAATTCTAGTCTCCTGTATAATGAACCTCCCTACATGAGAATAAGAAACCAGGGAGAACCATACACCAATATAAATTGTACAGCACAATAAATATATGAGCAAACTAAACTCCCGAATGAATTCATACAAGGTGTTAAAAGGAAAAGTTTCATTTAGGGTCTTCTAGAGAAAAACTGTTAGCTGTTTCCACTTGCATACATCATTTTGAAAGAGTAAAGTTCATAATGGTTTCAGATAGGATAAACAGCAAATCATTTCAAAAATTGTTTTTCAAAGAACAATCACCTAGGGAAAAAAGAAAACATTAAGTGACCAAAATCAGACACCAATATACCTTGTAATTCCATCTTTGATGTAATAAAGCAGGCATTCGGACATTAGTGGGTCTTCATTAAGATTAACAAGATGTGGGGTCTGAAAAAAGATTACAGATTATCAGTTTGGAGAAAGGCACCATAAGAAGGATATAGTAACAACAGGAGCCCACAGGAGGCCAGGCTTCTCAGATTTCCCCACATAGTCTGAAGAAGATCTTTCATTACTAGTTCTAAAGCTATAATAAAGAGAAAACACTCTCTTCAGGCCTCCCTATACCACACCCATGCATTCTATTACATGAGTTCTGGGATAAAGAACAAGACCCAGTTCTTAGGGTCAAAGCATAGTGAACCCAAAGAAAAAAAATCAAAATAGAATGATTCTCTGGGTGGGTTAATTACAATCTTTGTAACTGCATGGGCAAAAATTGCAAAAGATTTAATTTTTCATTTACTTTTATTCAAATTTACCCCATCCCCTGCCACCTCCTATAATTAACATCAGTTCTTCCATGGTCCCAGTTATTGTCTTTACTTTATTTCTCTTTACCTTAAAAAACATGTAAAAACGAAAATTTCTAAAATTCAATAATAACACCTCTAAAAATTCTTTTCAACTAACTCTAATGTTTCTAAAATGTTTTAAAAACCAACCTTCTTTGGTGAAAAGACCCCACTGGAATCCAAAAATATGTCACATGGCCTCGGGGTCAAAATCTACTCAAGAGTGTGCCAGCAAATGCGGAAAAACGAAAAAAGAGTCAGATGACAAGAAAGAAAAGGACTGCCAAAGATGGTTAAAAGGAAACTGGAAAACCTCTCTCCATCTCCACTACCATCCACCTCTGTGCTTAAGAACCCGGCTTGTTTGAGAGAGTCCAAGCCCTCTGTGGGTAGCATTCTTTAAGTCTCCTCTTTGGACTAAGAAAAAGAGATTATCAGAAACAGTTTTAAAATTATGTTTGGAGGGGTTGGGGTTGTGGCTCAGTGGTAGAGCAATTGCCTAGCATATGTGAGGCACTGGGTTTGATTCTCAACGCTGCATATAAATAAATGAATAAAATAAAGGTCCATCAACATCTAAAAATTTATTTTTTAAAAAAACTAAATTTGGAGGTGGACAATGGTCTCTCCCTCCCTTTCCTGAGGAAACGAAGAAAGTTAAAGCAAGGTGGGCAAGAAAATGCTTTGGAAGTAGAGATGTCTTTGGAATCTTTTATTGTTTATGTCACAATATTTGTTCAAGTTATTGATGATTCACATTAAATATCATAAGTTTTATAAGCTGTTACAAAAAATTTCCCCACAATTTTTTGGGTGATACTGGGAATGAAATCCTCAGCTATGCACCTACTAGGCAAGTGCCCTACCACCAAGCTACAGCCTAGTCCCTCCCCTCAGTTGTTTTTTTTTTTTTTTAACTTTTATTTATTTATTTGTATTTATTTATTTGTTTGTTTGTTTGTTTTTATGTGGTGTGGAGGATCGAACCCAGTGCCTCAGGCATGCTAGGCAAGCACTTTACCAATGAGCCACAGCCCCGTCCCATATTTTATTTATTTTTGTGTGGTGCTGAGAAACAAATCCAGTGCCTCACACATGCTAGGTGAGCACTCTACCACTGAGCCACAACCCCAGCCCCTTTCCCCTCAGTTTTTAACACTACAAGATATTATGAAATACCTTTAGATATATACACAATCTAAATGCTATCAAAACTGTAACTGCTAAAATATCTACCATTATAGGTAATATATCTGAATAAATACATGTGTTACTGAAGGGAAAAGTAATAAAAACACTGATATTTATATAAACATACAAAATACTTATTGTTCTAGTTTTATAATATGTGTGTATATATACATATATTTTTTTTTCCAGTTGTTTATGGACCTTTATTTATTTATATGTGGTACTGAGAATCAAACCCAGTGCCTCACACATGCTAGGCAAGTACTCTAGCACTGAGTCACAACCCCAGCCCCTCTAAATTATCCTTATTTTTTTTAATACTTTTTTAGTTGTTGACAGACCTTTATTTTTATTTTATTTTTATGTGGTGCCGAGAATTGAACCCAGTGCCTCACGCATGCTAGGCAAGCCCACTACCACTGAGCCACAAACTCAGCCCTCTAAATTATCTTTAAATCAATCGTTTTTTAATTTTTTTTTTTTTAGTTGTCAATGGACCTTTATTTTATTTATTTATATACAGTGCTGAGAATCAAACACAGGGCCTCACACATGTTGGGCAAGTACTCTACCACTGAGCCACAACCCCTGTCCTAATTCAATCTTTTTTGTTGAAAAATGACACATTGGAATTTGTAAAAATGTTATTTATGTGACCATGATAAAAAAAACCTAACCAGAAGAATCCTCACAAAAATCACAATAATGTCTCCAACTGTGAGACATAAAAGAAAAGTACCGATTCAAAATTCCCTCCTTCTTCTACTCTAACCTAAAGAGATCTCTGTTCCAAAACTATGTGTAAAGATGTCTAAAAGTCTTAATTGGCTAGTTTGAGGTCATTTGAAATGAAGGGCCATTCTTTTTGTATATATATTTAGTTGTATATTGACACAATATCTTTATTTTTATTTATTTATTTTTATGTGGTGCTAAGGATCGAACCCAGTGTCTCATGTGTCGGGCAAGTGCTCTACCACTGACCTACAACCCCAGCACTGAATGGCCATTCTTTAGTGGTATGAAATATATGCTTTGTACATCAATGTAGATGTTCCATCATTGTCACATAAACAAGTACATAAAAGAATCTTATAGTATTGGTTTTCCAGTATTGAACAGTAACTAAGTAGCAACTAAAATGAAAAAACAACAACAAAAAAGACAACTTACAAATCTAATTAGTTAAAGGTATCAAACTACTCTATGACTATGATTATGGATTTAGGAAAGTAACTACTGAAATCTTAAGAAAATCGAAGGGGAAAAAAGAAAGAAAACAAGGGAGAAAAGGAGTCTTAAAGGATAAGGGCTGGAACTGCTTTACTCAGTATAATGGTTATAAATAATATAAATCACTGGAGCAGTATTTTTCTACACAAACCTGAACAGTTGAAATTGGTTCCAAAAAATCATAGAGCAGAGTTGATGACTTCTGTGGGGGAAACGTACATAGAAAGAGTAGCCAAACTGAAGCACAGCGTGCTAGATTACATTGGAAATTTAAAAGAAAGCAACAATGAAGACAACTATAGACTGAATTGCACAGCTAAAAGGTACAGATTTGTGGCCTCTGAGTGTTTTTGTTTTTTGTAAACAGGATAGGTATTTTGGAAACAGGGTGCCCTTGTCTTTTAATACCATACTATGAAATGAAATCAGAAATTTCTGAAATTATTCCAAATAACAAGATACAAAAGAGGAGGAGTAAAGACCAGCATTGAAAGACAAAGTAACCACTCACCAATTCAGTGTTTTTCTCTCTCTTTTGGGTACTGGGGTTTGAACCCAGGGGTGCCTCACCACTGAGCCACACCCCCAACCCTGTTTATTTTTTATTTTGAGACAGGGTCTCACTAAATTGCCTAGGGCTTCACTTAGTTGCCGAGGATGGCTTTGAACTTGTGATCCTCCTGCCTCAGCCTTCCAAGCCACTGGGATTATAGGCATACATCACCATTTCTAGCCCTTTCTCTCTCTCTCTCTTTTTTTTTTTTTTTTGGCAGAGTGAGGCACTGAATCCAGGGCTTTGAGCATCCTAGGCAAGTACTCTCCCACTAAGCTACAATTCCTAACCCCCAAGCAGAATTTATACATTGTTTCCTACCTTTTTAGGTGAGAAAACCCCTAGAGTTCCTCCATCTTCTCGAATGGCAACTCCCATCTCAGCCAACAAGGCCTCTCTGGAAAAAACAAGTTCAAGTAAATTAAATACTTATACCAAAATGTCAATTAAATCAGTCAGATAAAAACGGAAAAATAAAGTTTGATAAAGTATATAAAGCAAAAAACAATTAGTCAAATCTAGAGTTGGTAACACAAATATGGAATTATGTGCTTATCTCATCAATAATGAAAAATTATTTTTAAGACAAACAGCCCAAAGTAAATACTCCAGTATAAAAGTTCTAGTCACCCAGATAACTGTCAACCTGTAGCTCAAGGATGGAATGCTTGCCAAGCATGCACAAGGCCCTGGGTTCAACCTCCAGTATCACAAAAAAATAAAAAATAAAAAACAAAACAAAAAAATCCTTTGCCTCATCTGATTTTGGAGACAGACAGAAATTCATAAACTCAAAGAAACACTTACCCAGAATCTAAGGAAACGACTTGGATATATGAAATATGGTCTATAAATATGATTTTCTCAAATGTTATTTATATACCCATGCCCACCATTCATTTTGATTCAGTAATTCTAGCTTAAAATCTCTAAAACAAGAAAATTCTTATTGTTTGTTACATTTACTATATCAGTACATTAGAACTTGATCCCACCTCATCTTCTTGTGAAGGGGGAAGAAAGAAACTGATATTTTTTAAGTATACGTTTATTCCAATAGCGAAAGTACCATTTTGGCTTATGCTCACCACTTTACGGTAGAAAAGGGATATAGTGAAAGACAGTGGTCAGAATAGCTCTTTGGATTTGGGCCTTTGTCAAAGGTAGTCTACTCTCTGCGAAGAAATACTCTTCCTCAATTTGTTCCATTTTTTATGCCACAGCAACAGGTAGTATGGTAACTATTATGCACATGATTCCACTGAAAACCTTTAAATATGTGGACTTCTCTTTAAAGTGTATATCCGACTGGCTGCAAGTCCCAGCCAGATTGATAATTTGTCTTGTGTTTTAGGAGGGGAAGTTCTTCACTGAACTTTTTTCCCCTCCTAGTATTAAGGATTATTTTAGGGGCGCTCTACAACTGAGATACATCCCCAGCTCTTTTTGTATTTTTTATTTTGAAACAGGGTCTAAGTTGCCCAGGCTGGTCTGGAACTTGCAATCCTCCTGTCTTAGCCCCCTTTCAGGTGTGCACCACCATACCAGGCTGTTTTTAACTTCCATTTCATCTTTTTTTACAATAAAAGAAACCAAAATGCCCCAAAAAACTTAGAAACATTCCCAGATTTTAATCTCCTGACCTCTCCATTCTGATGGCCTCTGTTTTGCGAAGCTTCTCCTCCCAGGTTTCATTCAACTCAGCAATGATCTTCTCTGATTCCTAAGAAAGGAAGTACATAGTTAAAGTGGCAGTCTTTCAATTTAATGTACCATGTTCAAGAAGGAAAGCAAAAAAAAGATTGTGCCCTTTGAGGATATGGAGCTGAATGTAAAGTGATGAGGCTTTTTTCTTTTTTAACATGTAAGGTAAGAATGCTAAAGATTAGGCTAAAGATTATATGTCAGCCTCAAACATATAAATTCTCTTAAGTTTTAATTAAAATACCTGTCTCCAAGTGTGGGCCTACGTACAGAAAGGTAATGCTAACATCCCAAAATACTTTTTCTGACAACCACTTCTACAAAAGAATAAAGTCTCCAAAGGTATTAATTGCTTTTGACTCACAATAATTTCATTGTAACATAATACCCTTCCCTGAAAGGATTTCTAATAACCAATATAGAAAGGCATAGTATTAAATCTCCCGTAGCCACTGAAGTGTCAATCACTTGCCAAGTACTCGTTACATCTTACAAATGTAAGAACTACAATGTGTTTTCTGCTTTCTAACTATATCCTAAGGAGAGAGAGAAGTAATTGATAACTTACTTGATAATAATGTATAACCCTACTATATGCCAAGCCCTGTTCTAGGCAACTAGAGAATGTCAGGGAACAAAATGCCTGCCTTCTTGAGACTTATATTCTAGTAAAGACACCAAGATAATTTTGATCAGTAAGTACACAGGGGGCTGGGGTTGTGGCTCAGCAGTAGAGTGCTCGTCTAGCATGTGCAAGGCCCTGGGTTCAATCCTCTGCACCACATAAAAAAACAAAATAAATGTATTGTACAAATTTAAAAAAAATAAGTACACAGTATATCAAACCATAGTGTTCTGGAGTACAATAAAGCAAGGAAAAGAAAGAATGGGGAAGGGTAGGTGTGGATGCAATCTAAAGTGAGTCTATTCAGACAGGCCACTGGCTAGGTTCCACATGAGCAGAGATAAGGGGAGGAGCAAAAGTTGCCACAAGAAGATGTGAGGAGGGACAACTGTGTGGCTACATGTCTGAGAACTGAGAATGGGTATGATAGGAGCTAACAACAGTGTGCTAAGAACCAGAACGGAAGCACTCAGTTGTCTGTGAGAGAGGTGAACTGGGGATGAGTAATGCTCACATGGAGGAATGAAGAACAAGTAGGGACTGAGTGGGTCAAGAATGGAGGGAAAGGGGATTCAAAAAAAGGGGAAGAAACATACACAAAAGCAGGAGCAAATGTTAGTCATGGGGACAAAAATCACAAAATCAGGTGATAATGATGATGACGACAGTGGTAATGTCAGTAGTAGTAGTGATTAATGAGGACAAGTCTGACAGTCCACAAAATACATCACTGTATGATTCATTTAACAGATTACTTTAAGAGGCCTCTGAGATCCCAAAACATAATCATCTACATAAAAATAAACCTGAATAGTAAACACAATAACCCTAAGGTATCTAGAGTATGGTTTTCTGGAACTTCTGGGTTTCCAGAATAATTCCACCATTGGAATAATTAATTCCAATTAATATCAAAACCAAAAATACACCAAAGGCAAAAGAAAGGGAACACATAAAAAACCCACAAGGAAAGACCCAAGCAGCAGCTACAGGAATTACAGGAGTCAAGAGAAACAAACAGGACAGCGTGGTTTAAAAGAAAAGAGAAAGAACAACTAGTAAAGCTAGGCAAAGAGCAAACCAGATCAAAGAAACAGCAGGGCAGCTGTGCACAGTGGTGCATGGCCGTAATCCAGAGACTCAAAGGCTACCACAGAACAATCACAAGTTCAAGGCCAGCCTGGGTAATGAAGCCAGACACTGTCTCAAAATGAAAAATAAAAAGGGCTGGAGATGTAGCTTAGTGGTACCATATGCCTGGGTTTAATCTCCAATGCTATTAAGAAAAGGAAAAAAAAAAAAAGAGCTGGTTACATAGCGGGAGAAGCTAGAACAAATCTGTTGTGGGGGTTTGTGCAAAGGTGGCAAAAACTACATAAATTGGCTCTTCTTGGTCCACAGTGCACACACAGAGTGAAGTGAAGGGCTAGCACCACTACCTGAATAGCATCAGTATCCTCAAGGAGCAATGATAACTAGGCAGAGCACCTGCCACTACAAAGCTTATCGGGGAACCAAAATGCCAAGCTAGGAGGAGGCAATGAAGACAAACCCATACGATTCCAGCACGGAGTGAGAAGTCCACGAAAGGATGCTTGCCTGATCCCAAGTGGTCAAAGCTACCTATCTAAAGCACCACAGAATTTACTCCATAGCTAACGGAGTGGTGTTACGTCCTGTACAGTACTCTAAACAGCAAGTGTAACACAAGCTGACACCACAACACACATTAATTTTAGGCTTTTAACAGAGGTAGGTAGAACCTACAAAGTGAAAACTGAAAACAATGGTACAGGACGACCTGAGCAAATCACCTGACTTAATACTGAGTAAAAAGCAGCCCACAAGGGGCTGGGGTTGTGATTCAGCGGTAGAGAGCTTGTCTTGCACGTGTGAGGCACTGGGTTTGATCCTTAGCACCACATAAAAATAAATGAATAAATGAAATAAAGGTATTGTGGGGAAAAAAATAAATGAATAAACAAAATAAAGGTATAAAAAATAAATAAATAAGGCAGCCCAGAAACCACCTACATTAATTAGGGAATACAAACTGACAAATAAGGGGTTTTGTTTGTTTTTGTGGTACAAGCAATTAAATCCAGGATCATGTGCAAGCTAGGCAAAGGCTCTACCACTAAGCTACATCCCCATCCCACACTTTTTAAAATTTATTTTTGAGTCGGTCTAAATTGCCCAGCCTGGCAACTTAAGATTAACTTGATTAATTGATTAACCTAAGACCACACTACTCACGGAGCCAGGTTGAACTGGGTTTCCTCTTACTGTTCTTTCTTTAAATAGGGCAAAATCAACAGTTTTTCAAGTACATAATCTACAAAAGAGCTCACAATAAGAGAAAGACTGAAGGATAGTTTGTCTTCAAGCCTGAACAACAAACTTAGTGTGGACAAACAAATAAACCCAGAGTAGCCAATAGTACCCTGCTGTTAGTATAAAAGGCAATTTCATCTGCAGGCAGCCAGGTATGGCAGTGTATAAAGCTGCCCATAACCCACCCAAGGAGCCTAATGTGAGATGGAACAGCAATGTTGATTCATGGTTCAGAAATGAGGGCTTGAGGAAATATGCACATAACTACATTTTTAAAAAACCTGCCACGCACCCCCGTTATCCCAGCCACTTGGGAGGCTGACACAGGAGGATTGTAGGTTCAAAGCCAGCGTCAGCAACAGTGAGGCGCTAAGCAACTCAATGAGACCCTGTCTCTAAATAAAATACAAAAAATAGAGCTGGGGATGTGGCTCGGTTAGTTGAGTGCCCCTGAATTCAACCCCTGGTAACCCCCCCTTCAAAAAAAAAAAAAATTCAAAGACAAATGAACATAAGGAAATTTTTTAAGCTCAAAGGAATGCTGGGCTCAGGTGGCGTTGACTCTTTGCTCTCACATCATACATGTCTGCATCTGTAGTTATTTGTATAGCACTGGTTAACAAATTATGCTTATACAGCTACACAATTTAATTTCTCTTGATGATTCAGTTATCAAGGTAGAGAAATACACAGGAAAAATCAGAAAATACTTCCATGAAATGCTTAAATGAGAGTTTTGGGTTTTTGTTTGGTGGTGCTAGGGACTGAATCCAGGGCCTTGCAATGTAGGTAAGCACTCTACCACTGAGCTATATCCCCAGACCTAGGTTTTTTTTTTTTTTTTTTTACGAGAATTTTAATATTTATTTTTTAGTTTTCGGCAGACACAACATCTTTGTTTGTATGTGGTGCTGAGGACCTAGGTTTTGATATGTAAAAGGTTAAATGCTTACTACATGAAACATTCCTTAAAGGAATCACATAGCCAAAGTTTTACTGTACTGAATATAGCATGCCTTATAAGTGAGCTCTAAGTTTGGGGGCCCTCAGGCTACTGAGCCCAGCATCTGCCCTTGCCAGCTTTTGTAGTGGATATTTATGGGCAAAGCCTAAGCAATGGAACTCACAGTACTGAATTTGATGCCAGACTATAAATACCAGCCATCACAATGCCTATAGCTGCATGTTTAAGACATTATTGAGCCCATTAATTCCAGAGATTTAGGAGGCTGAGGCAAGAGGATCAAAAGTTTGAGGTCAGTCTTAGCAAGTTGGGGAGGCCGTCTCAAAATCAAAAATATATTTTAAAAAGGGCTGGGAATGTAGCTCAGTGGCAAAGTACCCCTGGGTTTAATCCCCAGTACTGGGAAAACAACAAGAAGTGGCTAATGCATGTAAGGCATGCATAAGACCCTGAGTTCCATTCCCAGGACCCCACCCCCCCCCCACACACACACACACAAAAAAAAGCCTATTGAGCAAGAAAGCAATCAATTTAAGTCAGTTTAAGCTGTGACTTAAATGAATAACAATTACATATCACTTTCTTTCTCTAGAGAGGTTTGTAGGGATCAGATATTTGCTACATATGAAAACAGGCTATTCAACAAACAGAAGCAGCATTAGCCTGTGAAAATTAGTATACTAACTGATCTTTTCTTTTTTTTTTAAAATATTTATTTATTTATTTATTTTTAGTTTTCGGCAGACACAACATCTTTGTTTGTATGTGGTGCTGAGGATCGAACCCGGGCCGCACGCATGGCAGGCAAGCGCGCTACCGCTTGAGCCACATCCCCAGCCCCTGATCTTAAGTAAAGCATAACGAGAAGCAAAAAGAAATAACCTGCTAGGAAAATGCATTCATGTTCTCTACTGCTGTTTCCATTATAATATTGTCCTCCTGCAGTGCCATACCTCAGGAACACAGCTCCAAGGCATTCTCGGCATGTCCATTGTGCAACTGCTATCCTGCTTCAGGGAAGCAAGATCTTATCTGCCTGCAGCATTAAAATGCAGGTCTAGCGGAAAGAATTCTCACCACTCACAAGATAAAAGTAGAAGAAGGCACTTATGCTTCAGTGAACTACCGGGCTGCACTGTAAAGGAGCCATTTTCTCTCTAGAATAAAGCTAGGGAAAAGGGAAGATCTCATTTATGTTGTCTTAAAGGAGAATTAAACTAGAGGAATTTATTTGCTGATTAAAATAAAAGTTTTGTTTTGTTTTAATGGGAAGTAGGAAGGTCAGGAGAGAGAGCTCCCTGCACAATGACAGCATTATTCCCTAGAAACTATTTGGAAGACACTGGGTAACCTAATTCCAGTTAATGTCTTGACTCCTAACATCTGACATTATTTTCAGTTGGTTCCACTTGGCAGTTAAGGAGAAATTTCTCTTTCGTACCAAGGCAAATGTCAAAGAATAGGGTAATCTCATTTGTGCACTAAGCCTTTAATAAGCAAATAGTAAGATTCAAAATCCCCAAAGAAACCGACCACTTCATATTCAATATTCAGTAAGTGGGAGGTCTCATTTCTCCTTCCCACAGAGCCTCCTATTTCCCATCATGCTCCAAACAGAGGCTGCACACTACAGCAGTCCCTGATGCTTATTTGTGAGAAAATTCATGAAGATGCCTTCTGCATAGGGCTTCACCTAGGTCCTCAGTAAAACTTCAAAGTCAATTTTATCAACAGCAGAAGTCACCCTGCAGCCTATAACCTTGAATGGAAAGACTTTTCACTCCCAGGCATTTCAGAACTTCACACACTTTCTGAGGAAGAAACAAGATCATTTTCCTACTCCCCCCCAGCCCCGCCCCCCCCCAAGATTTAAAGGTAAGTATTTTTAAAATTAGAGTACAAGGGACGATACAGTCATTTAACATGTACTGAGATTCTTAATCATGAACAGTAATCAGTAGAATGCACAATTAGATCAAGGTCTAGTGGAATGAGCTTTGAAGTTTCATTTCTGCTTTTCAACAAGTGGGGACAGTAAGTAAAAGGCAACTATTAATAAAGAAAGCCTGGCTCAGTGGCGCATACCTGATATCCCAGCGGCTCAAGAGTCTGAGGCAGGAGGATCAGTAGTTCAAAGCCAGCCTCAGCAACCTAGTGAGGCCTTAAGCAACTCAGTGAGACCCTATCTCTAAATAAAATATTTTATTTAAAGGGGGCTGGGAATGTGACTCAGTGGTTAATCCCTGGTACCAAAAAAATAAATAAACTTAAAAAAAATAAATACACACTGAACATTTCTATATAATAAGCTGCATAATTAGCACATATCCACACAAAACGCATTGGATATGAACTTTAAATGTTATATTTACTCACTTTTTAAAAAAACTTTTTTAGGTATAGATGGACACATTACTTTTATTTTATTTACTTATTTTTATGTGGTGCTAAGAATCGAACCCAGTACCTCACATGTGCTAGGCAAGCGCTCTACTACTGAGCCACGACCCCAGCCCCTTTACTCACTTTTTGAAGTGAGTAAAATACCAAGGGAAAAGGTGGAATGACCAAGAAGGAAAAAGCTGAAACCCATTTTTCATATAAAATTTTTTCAGCCTCACCTAAAATCAAAATGAAATATCTGACATCTTAAATTATTAAGTTTAATTCACTTGTAGTGGTGAAGAGCCTTTTAATCACCAGTCCAAGTGTCACTGTTCAACTGTCCCTGAATGAGCAGCAGTCCTGGGAACACTGAGCAAAGATGAAGAGTACCAATACTGGCTGCACAGCTCCAATCTGCCAGATGAAAGACCACTCTTGAAGATATGGATCAAACTATCTTCCTGGAGGTACCAAGTTGGGAAGCAAAAAAAGTTTTATGTCTTGATGTCATCTGATGGATGGCAGAATTCCTGGTAACCTGTATCAGCACCATGGGTGACAACTGTCTGCTCTCATCATAGTCATTGAAGGGAAAGGAAGACTCTCTGAGTGGTAGGCTTTGCTCTGACGTTGACATTCGTGGAGAGAGACACAATACAAAGCTGGATGCCATGGGCAAGTAACCTACATACAGGGCACCATGGCCCTGAGTCCATATGCACCAGCACAGGAAGAAAGGCCTTCCTCTATGGTAACCAGAGGGTGTCAAGCTTTCTGAGAGCTTTCAGAAGACACAATTTCATGTGCATCTGTTATGGCTTAGATGTGTCCCCCGTAAGAAAGCTTAGAGATAAAATGACTGGGTTATGAGAGCCTTAACCAAATTAGTTCATTAATCCACTTGAGTGGATTAAATGGGTAGGAGCTGTGGGTGGGTAGAGTGAGACTGAGAAGGCAGGTCACTGGGGACATGCCTTTGGGGCACCCTCCCGACTGCTTTCTTCCACAAGCTCTTATGCCTTGATTTTTTTTTTTTTTTTTTTTTTGGTATTAGGGATTGAACCCAGGGTCCCTTAACATATCACCAGCCCTTTTAATTTTGAAACAGGTCTTACTGAGTTGCTTAGAGCCTCCCTACATTGCTAAGGCTGACTTCAAACCTCCTGCCTCAGCTTCCCAAGCCACTGGGATTACAGGTGGGTACAATCAAGCCCTATGATGCCATAATGTTTTGCCTCATCTCGGGCCCAGAGCAATGAAGCTTAACTGTCCATGCACTGAAAACTATGAAACCACGACACACACACACAAAAAAAACTTTTAACTCCTCTAAAATTGTTCTTGTTGGGTATTTTGATCATGGGGTAAAAAAGCTAACTAAACAGAATATGAATAAACCTAGTACAGCTACATGAATGTCCCACTCTCCTTAATTTCATACTAATAGAATAATGGCTCTACACAGAATCCCCTCATCAAATGAAACCAAATGTTTCCAGCTATCTCACTTAAAACTAATTTATAACTAACAATTTCATTGTGACTTATAAACTATCTCAAAGTTAATGTACATATCTACTTATCAGTTAGTTCATGTAACAGCTTTGTCTGGCCAGGTCAGACTCAAAACATTTTGGTGAAAAGAGATTAACAGAAAATACAAAATTCTGTTTTCAGGATACCTCAAGAATTAAAAGTTCTTCATGTGCTAAGCCAAAAATCTCAGTGAGTTTCAGTTCTAGTTCTGCCTTGGGGAGCTACACAGATGGCCTTTCACTAGTTTGAGTGTTTACATACCTTTAGACGTTCAATGGCTTCCTCTCCTCCAGGTGTAGACATGATCCTCTCCTGAATGCTGGTCACAGATGTTAAGCCCACCTGACTACTGAGTGAGCAGGAAGATGGAGATGACGTAAGGGAGCCCATGGATGCTGTGGAAAAATTGCCAGGGCGTTGATTCTCAGAGGCTAGCAAGTACCTATGTTTATTGTTCTGAAAATCTTTCAGATCTGGGAGATAAAAAGAAGGAAAGACAGAAAAAGAAAAGAGGGAAAGGAACAGAAGAAGGAAAAAAAGATAGGAAGGAACACCAGTGTAAGAAAGGATAGCATTACAGCGCAAGACAAAGACATGTTTTAATACAAAGACAAGTTACAATCGTTCTAGATGGCAGTTCTAAAACACGGCTCTTTAATATTGGTATCCTAGAGGTTAACAATCTCTTCTGGATTTAGAAACTAAAAATCCCAAGGTGGGTTAGCATTTTATCTGGCAGGAGGTAAACAAAGCCTCAAAAGCACTCTATCAAAACAGCTAAAGAATATTTCTTGTATTCTTTCTACTGTTCCACATCTACAATGCCTTCACATTTATACTACCTTGAAATTCCATGACTTTGTAACAGTAAGGATAACAATGATCATTTATTTATCAATAATAATCCATATTAACCTGGTTAGAGTTTTGTGGAATTGTCAAAAATTTTCCAAAAAAATGTAAAGAGTTAAAAGAAAATTCTGAGCACTAAGCAGTATATTTGTATAACATTTCAACATGCCAAAAAAAGATTTTTAAAATGTCTTAAATCAAAAAAAGAGGTAACTGTATAAATGAGAGGAATTTTAAGTCTAGCTAAGAATACAGAACTGAATGCTTGCCCCAACAGGGAAAGGCAATTAACAAATTAATAAGTTCTGTTGTAGTTTCCATATTTCTATTATGGCAAACAAAAACATAAGACTGATTATTTGTAAATTTAAGTAAGGCCTTTACTGTGCATAACAGTATGACCATAGGGTCATAGGGTAAGTAAGCCTGCTTTCTATTTTGATATATAAGTTTTAGGAAAATATTTTATTTATGAAGGTGTCCAACAACTATAAATTTAGCTCTGAAACTTATTTTTGGTTAAAAAAAAAAGACACACAAAACAAAGTTCATTAATTCACTTATTTGTGCTTTCCTCCATTAGTCATTTTCCCCAAATGAACACCAGAGGAAAACTGGCACACTCCTATTTTAAAATTAGCTCATTTTTAAAATTAAGAAAATCTACATTGCTTAAAATTCATACCGAAACTAAATTTTCCTTAAAGGATATGAGGCAATACAATTAAAAAAACACTATTCAATTCTCTCTTGTTTTTACTATTTAATCAAAAGCCAGTTCTTGAAGCCCCTCAAAGCGTGTGGTTGCTTCAAGACAGTTTGAAAACCACCATCTGCAAATATAGAAGAACATAAGGAAACAAGCAAAGAGGCATGTTTTAAAAGGGAGATAGGAACTAAAGCAAAAAATTCAGCCACCAGGTGATGGTAGCAAGGTGGGAAAGAGGAAGATGGATAAGCTTAGAAGGTCCCATGGACACATGCAAGCCCTAAAAGGAGTTAAGTAGATCCAAATGGAAACTGAGAAGTAGTCAGGACTGCTTTTCTTTGCAGTTAAGGAATTCAAACTTAGTCATGCATGATTTTCAGGAAATGCCATAGCTGCTCAGAGAAGAGATAGGCACCAAGCTGGCAGCAGCAACACCTCAAGCATAAGAGCAAAAACAAAAAGGCATCCTTTCCACACCAGTATGGTTCAGCTTTGGAAATCTCAGACAGAGCTGTTCCAGTCCAAGAGTCACATGTGTATCAGGACAATTAAAGGTCTGGGGGGCTAACCAATCACGACAACTAGGGCTATATTCCAGTTCTCCTCATTGTGTGACATGCTTTACTGCACAACTAAATCAATAAGAATCCAAAAATTAAACCCCAAAACAAGGTTCTTCACATCTTTGTGCATGTGTGTCTATGTGAGCACTGGGGATTGAACCCAGAGGTGCTTTACCACTGAGTCACATCCTCAGCCCTTTTTATTTTAAGTCACTAAATTGTTTAGGGCCCCACTAAGTTGCTGAGGCTGGCCTCAAACTCGGTGATGCTTCTGCTTCACCTCTAGAGTCCCTGGGATGACAGATGTGTACCACTGCACCTGGCTATTCTTTAAATCTTATAAGATAACAAAGCTTACGTGAATTTTAAAAGGGTAAGCAATCATTTCCTCATTAGCTCAGGGCTACCCGTGGAGACAGTGACCTGTTATGTCATTTCACGCATATGGACTCTTCATTAATTTGTAATTTTAAAATGAGGAAAACTGTTTATTCAACCTTTGAGTAAAGTGAGGTTCAAGATATCAAAACACAACTGCAAAAGCATAGGTTGAGTGCTAACCCAACTTTCATATAGAGCTCCTCAGAGAGTTTGGCCAGGTGGAAGTGATTTTTTAATTCTAAAAGTCTTATATTTACAACACTAATTAAAAAGGACTTGTTCATTAAATAATCAACTCAAGAGGCAAAAATAAATAAATAAAACCCAACAACAACAACAAAAAAAACCAGTATAATGATTAAAAGCCAAGGGCTCTGAGTTATACTACCAAACTGATCATACAAGAAACATGAGGTCTAAGGAAACTAACTACTCCAGGTTACTAGCAAAATGAGAATAATGGAACTTTTTCAGAGTCAGTGACAGAACTGAGATAATATGTTTAAGGTGTCTAGAACAGGGCCAGGTACATTATACACTTATATCAAAAAATGTGAGCTACCCTATTTGATTCAAATGTATGATATGTCAAGATCATTATACTGTCATGAGCAACTAATAAAATAAAAAAGTAAAAATTTTTAAAAAAAGTGAGCTGCTATCACTGTCCTCATAATCTATGATTTGGGACTTAATCACATAGGGGTAGGGATCTAAAAAGTAGAACAGTAAGAAATTCTTATGCCTTCACTCAAGCTAAAAAACTGAAGTTCATCAAAGATAGCTTTGCTAAATGGAAAAGGGCAAACAGGAGAACTTCTGATTCCACAGGATGCTCCGTCTGGGATTTCCTGTTAGGATCACTGGCATGCAAAGCTCATTTTTAAGGCTGATCCAGCAGAGGCAGATTAGCAACTCAGCATACTGGGAATAACGAATACATCAAATACACACATTTGCCTCCACTTCCAGAGTAATCATCGATCAATGGATCAACTGAAGGTAAGCGGGAGGGAAAATACAAGGGTCAAAGTTCAGGTTCAGCAGTGACGAGAGAGGAACAGAGCAATATTCGGCATTGGGAAGATAAAAAAAGTTAATACTTAGATTATCATTTTTACAAATTATATTAATTAACTTGAGCTCTAACCAGTAAGAACTAAAACAGGCCTTGAAAATCTATTAGAATTTCAAAGACTATAATATTAATTTTACACTGAAAAATATGCTTTATTAAACAAACATTCTATCCTATCTAAATAATCTACTTTACATACTTAAGAGAACATTTTGAAATGTTGGACACGAAACCCAGGGCCTTGCACATGCTAGGCAAGTGCTCTACCACTGAGCTAAATCCCTAGCCCTTACTAAAAACAACTTCTGCAGGGTGAGGTGACACATGCCTGTAATCCCAGCAACCCAGGAGTCTGAAACAGGAATATTGCAAGTTGGAGGCCGGCCTTAGCAACTTATGGACACTGTCAACAATCTGGTGAGACCATGCCTCAAAATAAAAAAATAAAAAGAGCTTGGAATGTAGCTCAATGGTAATGTGCTCCTGGGTTCAATCCCCATTGCCAGAAAAACCCATGAAACAAATATAAAAACCTCCAAAAACTTTTTTTTGGAGGAGGGGTTGGAGGGATACTAGGCATTGAACCCAAGGATGCCCTACCACTGAACTACAACCCTATCCATTTTTATTTATTTATTTATCTTTTAGTTTTGAGACAGTGTCTCACTAAGTTGTTGAGGCTGGTTGTGATCCTCTTCTCCAAACTGTGATCTTCCTGCCTCAGCTCCCAAATTGCTGGGAGATATGTATCACTATGCCCAGCTCCAATAAATATTTTTATAAATTAACTCAGTGAAATTAAGCTTTACATTAAAAAAAATCAATCAATCAATCAATCCATGGATAGCCTGGTACATACTATATAAAGGAATTCTGAGATCATAGTCATTATTTTTCTTTTCTTGAACTGGAGGTCTTTCTATGTTGCCCAGACTGTCTGAAACCTTTAGCTCAAGCAATTTTCCCCACTTCATCCTCCAGAGTATCTGGGATTACAGGTATGCACGACTGCACCTGGCTCACTGGATCTTTTTAAGAAAAAATACACATTAAACCACTTTTAGCACAATCTAGTGACCAAGTTCCTTAAATCTAAGCTTATTTTAAATATAAAGACCTAAGGTTTATTTTAAATATATATTTTATGTTGTTCCTTAATTTACTTACTATCAATAATATCTCCCAGCCCCTGTGCACGTAGAAGGTCCTTCAGCCGTGTCACTTCCTCCTTTAATTCACGAACCAGTTTGGCATTGGGGTCCTCATTGATAACAGCATTGCATTTAATTTGTTTTGCACGATCTGCATATCTAGATTCAAGAAGAAAATTCATTCTTGCCATTTCTCAGGTACTCTTCTTCACAAAAGTAACATACCATTACTTCTAAGTCAAACATCTTGAGTATTTATATATTTTATATGCCCCTTTTATATAAAGCTTTACAGTACCTTATAAAGATGAAAAAGGCTCAGATGAATTTAAGTGATTTTTCCCAAGATAACAAAATAAATAAATAGCAGAGAGAATGCAAACCCAGTTTGTTAGATTATAGAATATTTTTTCACTTCTTTTACTATACCAAGGTATCTTCTTTTGGTTGGGGGGGCCACCGAGGGTGGTACTAGGATTGAATCCAAGGTGCTCTACCATTGAGCTACATCGCCAGACTTTTATATTTTGTTTTGAGATAGGGTCTTGCTAAATTATCCTGTCTTCAGCCTCCTGAGTCACTGGAATTACAGATATATGCCCCTGCACCCAGTTTCAAAAGTTTTTGTTTTTTTTTTTTTAATGATTACAAACTCAAGAAGACAGAGTTCCAGATGAAAGTAATAAAACCCATTCACATGCAAATATTTTCGGTTAAGTGAACATTCTGTTGGTAAATTATTTATTTTTTAATTTTTTTTTTATAATATGGGAGATTGGACCTAGAGAGCCTTATGCATGCTAGGAAAATGCCCTAACACAGAGATACAATCCCAACCTTTTTTACTTTGAGACAGGATCTGGCTAAAGTACCCAGGCTGGTCTTGAACTTGCAATCCTCCTACCTCAGCCTCCTGAGTAATTGGGATTACAGGTGTGCGCCACTATACCTGGCTTGATAAAGTTTTTTTAATGCCACATGTACTCATAATTGTATTACATAATTTTTACAACTTGAGCATTTCCATAAAGACAGAAGCTGTATTCACAGAAGGGAACACTTTTTAAAGAAATGAATAAGGAATATTTATTATTATATAGAAGTTGTTCAAAACTCTCATTTGAGCAATTTGAACATCTTTCCTTGAAAAAGTTCCTGACTTTCCCAATGAACTGCCAACCATAGACAGGTAAATTCCATTATAATAAAAATCACTCCCCGCCCCATATATTCCCTGTTAAGAGAGAAAGGGGGGGCTGGGGTTGTGGCTCAGTGATAGAGCGCTCGCCTAGCACATGTGAGAAGGCCCTGGGTTCAATCCTCAGCACCACATAAAAATAAATAAGTAAAATAAAGGTATTGTGTCTAACTACAACTAAAAAATAAATATTAAAAAGAGAGAGAGAGAAAGGGATCACTGTTTACACAAATGACTATCAACCCAGCATAAGAAAAATCCATGGTATAACAAAATGACTGAATGTGGGTCTACTTGGGAAGTAAGGTCAAATGAGAGTACCTCAGAGTGCTCAAAGTTTCATCATAGTTGATATCTGCTGGGCTAAGAGCGGCAACCATTGCAGTCCGAGAATTGCCACCTAAGAAAATGAATCAGATCCCAAAGTATACTCATTTAGAAAGAATGTTATTGAATGTATCAAATCTAACAGCTTTAACTCATATCCTAATATTTAATCAAAGGCCAACAACTTTCTTAAATACCAGTCCCCATTCCAGGCACTGTTATACTCAACTACTGGTCTATGAATCTACTGGGTCTAGTTCTTGTTCTCTCACTCTCTCTAGAATCTACTGCAGTCAAGATAGCCACTCCATTAAAACTGGTGTTAGCAATGGGAAAGTCACTGCCTGGGGATCAGCCCAGTCTCTTTCTTCAGTCATCAACATCTGACATGGCTAATCTCTCCTTCTTCCTGAGAAGGAGGAGCAGCGAATGAAAAGCAGGACTGGAAAGTCAAGAAATATCAGCAATAAGGAGAAGTAAGAGTTGGCAACATCTGATTATGGGCACCTCAGAGGAACATGAGGTTTGGAAAGAACTTTTGAGAAAGAAGCAAACGTTTGAAGAAGCTATAGGGAATCAGGAGGATAATGCTTCACAGTTCATACTCTGAAATAAATGAAATATGGGAGAACACCCAAATTTTAAAGTGAATATAATCAGCTGAAATGAGAAGCAAAGATGAAAAAAAGCAGAACATTCAGTCAGTAACATGAATAACTAAAGAAGATTCTTCCCCAAAACAGACACAGAAAAAATAGCCAACATGTAAACAGATTTCAAAAGATATCTATGAAATGAATTTGTGTCAGTAGTCAACATACCTAGATTTTCTCGAAGAAGCCAAGTGAGTACAGAATCCCTGTAAGGAATGAAATCAGTTTTCTTCTTCTTTTTACTCTATTGAAGAAAAAGGAATAGACTTAGTATTGTTTAGGGGAAAAACTCACTTGAAAGGCAAATCAGTCTAAAATTCCCAAGCAAATCAAATTACAGATGAATTCCATCATTGTTGAAATTTATCATTCACAGTTTTAATTCTTCATAATATCCAAAACTCATGCGATTATTTTTTTCATTTTATATCTTAATTATGAAATTTGTATTATAACAAACACAACAGTCAAGAGAGTGTATAATGAGTTACCAGATACCCACATACAGCTTCAACCATTAACAATATTTTGCCATAATTATCTTTCAATTACTCTCCCAAATACTTTTTTACATTCCTGAAACATTTTGTAGTAAGATGCAGATATTATATCTAAACATTTCAGCAGATAAGGATGTTCTTTTACAGAGTATAATGACCAAGTTCAGAAAAATTTTAACATCAATCCAATGTTGTTATTTCATATGCTGCCCATATCATGTCTGTTATAGGTCTCAGTGTTTAAAGCAAACCCAGCATTTTACTCTAGGTACTTTAGGTACATATTTCTAACAGAAAGGACTTAAAAAAAAAAAAAGATTATTATCACACTTAGCAAAATTAACAGTAATTCCTTACTATTGTCTTATATCCAGCTCTCAAACAATAAGTTTTATTTTTACAGAGGTATAAATATGAATCCTGTGCGTTCCCAGTGCTGGGGATACCGGCGTTTAACACCGTGCCTGGCACAAGAGCCATTTTCAATAAATAGGCTCAATTTAAAATTGCACAAGCCTCCTAGGATAAGTTAGCCTTTCAGTTCTTCACAGAATGATGAGTCAAACTTTTCCACTAAATGAAGAAATTTCATTTATTGCCCTTTCAAGAGGTTTATAGAACTGTCAAAAGATAGTCTTATAGATCACTAGAACAAACATAAGATAATACAATGTAAAAGCTTCCTCAAATAAAGTTCCTTTATTCTTAATTCCTTTTCCAAAAAACATCATGTTCCTAAAGTAATTCTGGTGTGAAGTCTCATGATTTATGGTCACCCTAAACAGCCAGAAGACAAATGATAAAAAGTTCTTTGAAGGTTCCATTCCATGCTTCTATATATTCTCTGAGGATTTAAAACCATGAGTTGATTCTATAGCTAGTTCATCTCTACCAATCCCCACCATACCTTGCTGGTGCAGTTATCCTATAGACGAAAGCATTTAAGGGAGAGAACAAGAACACAGGATAAACCTCAAACAAAAAAATAGTGAAGTCATAGATTATGACTTCTCAGACACAGATAAGAAAACATTTAATTCTACTTAAGCAATTTAAATGAGATTATTAGTGTACATCAGAGCACACATGATGAATACTTCCTTGGCTTCTAACCTAAATAATAAAGACGATTATATAAAAATTGTGTTAGCTCTTATGTTCCACTGTTAAGGAATAGGAAAGAATGAAGTTACAGTCATGTCCATGTGTGGTGGCACACACCTGTAATCCCTGTAACTTGGGAGGCTAAGGCAGGAGTATTGCAAGTTCAAGGTCAGCTTCAGAAACCCAGTAAGACCCTAAAGCAACTTAGCAAAACCCTGTTTCCAAATAAATAAATAGAAAGGAAGGGAGAGAGAGGTAGGAAACTGGGGATATAGCTAAACGGTAAAGAAACCTCAGTTCAATCCTCAATACTAGGGGGAAAAGAAAAAAGAGAGAAAGAGAAAGGCAGAAAGGAAGACAGGAAGGGAAATTACACTTCTGTGCTGAATAATGGCATTTCAGTCCATGTACAGACTGCATATATGATGCTACTCCCATAAAACTATAATAGTGCTGAAAAATTCCTAGGTGGTAGCACAACTACTGCTCACTTGTTTAAAACCTATTACACTGTCAGTTGTATAAAAACACAGCATATACAATTAAGTACATAAGTGTCTGGTTTAATATTTACCATACTCTACTTTTTTCTATTATTTTAGAGCATTCTCTACTTCCTAAAAAGAGTTTACTGTAAAATAGTATGCCATATGTCAGTAGCAGCCTCATGCATCTTGTGTTTACCTTGTCCACTGATTGCACCATTCTCTTGTGCTTGATTTAATCTCATGCTGTTCTGTTCATCACAGTTGTAGGAGCAGTAGGCTCTACCAAAGCCAAGTTGTATAACTGTATACTATCAGGTTTGTGTGAACATACTGTATGACACACCCACAATATCAAAACTGCCTAATGATAAATTTTCCAAAGCATACACTCCTTGTTAAGTGATGTATGACTGTGTTTTATTTTTATTTTTCACTTTTGTAGTGCTAGGGAACAAACCCAGGGCTTCACACTCTACCCCTGAGCTACATCCCCAGTATTCTATCTAGAAAAAAACTGCACAGGAAAAGGACATACAATAAATACACTTTTTTTTTTTTTTGGTGAGACACAAAATAAAGCTCAAAAAACTAGTCAAACCTTTGATTTTTGCTCTAGCCTTTATACATCTACATGTGCTTTCATTCTATGTTCAGCACAGACTCAAACTGTGTCAGACCTTCTGTCTTACCTGAAAAGTTCTAAAAGGAGAAAGGCAAGACTACATAATAGGGTCAAAACACAGCAGCCTCTGTAAACAAGCATAAAGTAACATCAAGTCTACCTGCTGTACAAACAATTTCCCCTTAATAAAAAATGAAGTAGCGGGGGATGTAGCTCAGTAGTGGAGAGCTTGCCTTGCACATGTGAGGCACTGGGTTCAATCCTTGGCACCACATATAAATACAGGTATTGAGTCTATCTACAACTAATACATATATTAGTTGTAAAATATTATTTTTAAAAAATGAATTATAAAACTTACCACCTCTGCCAAGGCTGAAATGACTTTGCCCAAAGTTGTAAGAGACTTATTAATATTTGCTCCTTCCTAAAATAAACATCAAACATGAAAGAATTAGGATGAAGAGTTTCTACTACTGTCACATCATTCATATAGAAGATAAGCTTGCCATATGCTAGCATATTTGTTGATGTCCATAAGTTCTAAAATTTCGTTTAGTCCTCCGTAACTTCTCCTCACACTTAATACCATGCTGAGGCCACATACCTACCTCATAGTTCCAAGTATTTTCCAGATATTTGTATTCCAAAACCTTACAGATGCAGCCTTCTTTCCACAAATCACCAACGTAAAATTTCTGGTCTTGTTAAACAATCTTTTGTTCTCATATCTGGATCTTGTATATCCTATTCCCATTACTGTCTTACTTCTAACTAGTCAAAATCTGCCTGTTTCCCAAACTGCAATTCAGGTCTCACTCGACCATTATGTCTTCCCTAACTATTTTGTTATCCAACTTAACCTTTCTTTGAAGTCAAAAGATCCTCAGCAGGTCAAAATTTTCTATAAAGGGTCAAACATAAGTTTGTGGGTCATGTAATATCTGTCGCAACTCTGCAAAAGCATCCATAGACAACATATCAACTGATGGATAGAGCTATATTTCAATACAATTTTATTTACAAAACAGGTGGTGAGCTGGATTTGTCCCACTGGCCATAGTCTGCTGACCTATGTTACAGAACACTGACAAGGCCACTTATTTGGCAAAATAGATACCTTTAATCGAGTTCCTTTGGCACCAGTTGAATCAGCTCGTTCACTTCCTGCGAGATCCACCAAGCTGATTTTACTAACCTAGTAAAGAACAGTAACATGGGAGCAATTCAAATAGAAGCAGAAAACATTTAAAGGCAGGAAATTCTTTTAAAAATTAAGGTATGAAGAAGATTAAAAATATTAGTGCTCTTAACCATGACTCAAGATGACAAAGACGACAAACATATATGAAAATCAGTTTAAGAAGCATATACATAAAGCTGGGGGTGTGACTCAACATCTGACCAGCAAGCTCAGCACATACGTGCACAACACGTGCACGCACACACACAGAGCATAAAATTCATAGCAACTATCTTGGTTCTAAAGTAGTAAAATGATTGTGGCTTGGATGTAATCTGTCTCCCAAGGGTTCATAAGCTGAAAACTTGATCCCCAATGTGGAATATTAAGAGTGTGAAACCTTTGAGAAGTGGAACATACTGGGAAGTTCTTAGGTCTATGGGGGTGCTGCTCTTTGAAGGGATTAGGGAGGTCCTTGTGGGACCCCTGAGTGAGTTCTCAAGGGAGAGTTGTTATAAAAGGACAAGGCTAGCCACTCCCCAGCTTCTTTGGCTTCCTGTGGGAGATGTGATCTCTCCTTTTTATACCTGCTCCCACCATTGTGATGCCATTTGTCATAAGGTCCTCATCAGAGTCAAATTTGATGTGGATGCCAATGCCCTGAACCTCCAGAACTATGAGTAAAACAAGCCACTTTCCACTTTTCTTTTCTTCTTCTTTTCCTCCCACTAGTATTGGGTAATAAACCCAGGGGCACTTTACCACCAAGCTACAACCCCAGCCCTTTTTATTTTTTATTTTGATACAGGGACTTGCTAAGTTGCCAAGACTGGACTCAAGCTTGCAATCCGCCTGCCTCAGCCTACTAAGTAATTGGGATTACAGGAGTGTACCACAATGCCCAGCAACCTCTTTTCTTTATTAAGTTACCCAGCCTCAGGTATTTTGTTATATTAACAAAAACTGAACCAGTTCATAGCTTCAGGATAAATATGACATTTTACTATAGTATGTCAAAATAATATATAAAACTCATTAGTGTAGTACTAAATGGTATGTTAAAAAAGAAGCTACAAGGAACCAGAACTCTCATATATACTGTTGGTGGGGAAGTAAAATGTTATAGTCACTTTGAAAAGTAGTTTGGCAGTTTCTTAAGAAACTAAATACTCATCTACCATAAGACTCAATATACAAACTGTGATGTATCTATATAATGTAATATTTGTCAGAATGAAAAGGAACAAACTACTGATAAACTCTGTAATATAGTTGAGTCATAAAATCATTACACTAAGTCAAGGAAGCCCAGCAAAAAATAGAGCATGCTATATGATTCTATGTACATAAAATTCTAGGAAACAAGCTAATCTCTAGTGGCAAAAGCAGATCAGAAGCCCAATGCAATGGAGTGGGCCTGTGATCCCAGCAACTTAGGAGGCTAAGCCATGAGGATTTCAAGTTCAAGACTAGTCTGGGAAACTTAGAAAGACCCTGCTCAAAAGGGGAGAGAGTAGCTGGGACTATAGCTCAATGGTAAAGCACCTGGAGTTCAATCCCCAGTTCTAGTTCCACACTGCCCCCCTGCCAAAAAAAAAAAAAACACCAGCAGATCAGGAATTGCCTGCAATGGGGTAGTAGAGGTATACAGAGGTATTACAAAGGGGCCTAAAGCAACTTTTTTAGGTAACAGAAATTCTCTTAATCTGGACTGTGGAACTGGTTGCATAGTTATAAAAATATTTCAAAACATAGCTCAAATTTTACACTTTAAATATTTATAGTTTATTGTATATCTCTGTAAAGTTGTTTTAAAAAATTATATTTCAAGAAACTCTAGACAAAAGGTCCAAAATGGATTATCAAGAAAGATATTGGGCTGGGAGTATAACTCGGTGATAGAGCATTTACCAAGCATGCTCAAGGCACTAGATTCAACCCCAGCACCAAAGGGGAGAGGGGGCACTACAGCTACGGATTAACATAATTTATTTTGCAGATTTAACATTGTGGGAAAAAGGCAAAACATTTTCATATAGAATGTCCCTTGGTGCCATTCAGAAAAACACTAACCACCAAATAGCATCAACATTATTACCTCTGGCAAAGCAAGTTATTTGATCACCTATAACTAGTATATTTTTTAAAATGATTTTTAGCTGAAAGCAAATAAAATGTCATCAAGAAAAAAGGTGTGGGCTGGGGATGTGGCTCAAGCGGTAGCGCACTCGCTTGGCGTGCGTGCGGCCCGGGTTCGATCCTCAGCACCACATACAAAGATGTTGTGTCCGCCGAAAAACTAAAAAAATAAATATTAAAATTCTCTCTCTCTCTCTCTGTCTCTCTCTCTCTCTGTCTCTCTCTCTTTCAAAAAAAAGAAAAAGAAAAAAGGTGATTCTAGTTTTTAGTGACAATGATATCACACACAATATACTAATTTTATATAGCAAAGGATCCTGTGTAACTGCTAGCACAATAAATCTAAATTCAGATTTAAGATTGCATGCCACTTAGGAATGCACACAGAGCAGAATTGAACTTTTTATTATTATTAACAGTAATAGCAACAAAATTAACATTTACTTGGGAGGCTGAGGCAAAAAAAACTGCAAGTTCAAGGCCAGCTTCAGTAACTTAGTGAGACCTGTCTCAAAATAAAAATTTAAAAAAAAAAAAAAAGAAAAAAACTATCGGGGAAGGGGGAGGTAGGGCCTGACTGGTAACATAGCTCAGTGGTGAGGCACCTCTGGGTTCATCCTAAGTACTATAAAATTAACATTTATTAAGTAGCTACTCTGTACTAGACACTATTATATGTACTTAATCTATATTAATATTTGATCCTTTTTAACAACTCTATAAGGGTTTATAGGTGAAGAAAATGAGGCACAAAGAGGTTAAATAATTTGCCCAGGTTAATATATCTGAAAAGTAGCAGTCAGAATTCAAAGCAAGAAGTTTGATTTCAAAATCTATAAATTTTGGTTTTGATATTGGGGATTGAACCCAGCAGTGTTTTAACACTGAGCTACATTCCCAGCCCCTTTTATTTTTTATTTTGAGAAAGAGTCTCCATAAATTGAAGGGGCTCGCTACAGTGCTGGGACTGACCTGGAACTTGCAATCCTCCTGCCTCAATCTCCAGAGCTGCTAGGATAATAGGTATGCACCTCTGCAACTGGATTGCAATATTTAAACACTATACAAAGTAAGAAATTAACAAGAACGGGTATTTGAAGAAAACCAGAGTTCTCATGGAGTTATATTTGTTTTCCAGGAATAAAACATATTCTGCTTGCCTAATCATTTTCTTCACCATTTAATCCCACAGTAATATTCTGTAGTAACATTATTAATATTATCATGGTTCAATCAGGAAGAAAAGGATTTTCTCCCCACGGATCCGCTTTGTAGTTTATGAGACCCAAAGTCTTAAGACTGTTTTTTCTTAACTCTGTTTTCTATTCTGTGATTTCCTTTAAGAACCCATGATGAAACTGATACAAGATGGAAGAAAAATGTTAAGTACAGGCTATAAAGTACCCTCCGTTAAGTAAAAGAGCAATCTACCTCCCTTTCACAAAATACACAGGATATTAAAGGGATTTCTCAAAATTCCCACCTCTGCAACTCAAACCTAGAGACGATGTTCTCCTACCTTCTCAGTGGAAAGGTTGGTCTCAGAGTCATGTTTCTTCTGGGTGAAAACAATGGTGAACACAGCATGGGAACGGCTACTTGTTTCATTCATGTTGGTAGCTGCCACTGTCCTAAATAAACACAATGGTGACCACGTGACAATGGAATTCTTACATGTGGAGCAGCAGGCTCTACATTATAAGCATAACAATCACAAGTTATGGCCTTAAACTGTTAGACTGTCACTTACACAATTGCTCTTAATACTATCTTATTTGTGAGCCCATCAAGATACCCTCCAACTCAAAAAGCGCCCCATCAGAATCATTTTTCATACTCCAGCTATCCCTTTAGAAACCACCAGAGCATTAAATTTTTATTCTTTATTAGGTGCTCATTTATTCCAGACTCAATTACTACCACCGATACACATAGACAAGATGACTAACACTTTACCACGGCTTGATTAAAACTTAAGGGTAAAACTTAACCAAAGTTCTGTTTCAGTAGTGTACTGTTTTGATGAGAAGAAAGACAGACTCCCCCAACTCTCCAGCATGTGAGACTAAGTGAACTGAAGCAACTGTTATCACTATCATCATGGGATAGTCATAAATAGGAAGAAAGAGCCCCAAAATGTGCCAAAGGCCTCAGTCATTAGCCAGTTTTCCACCATACCTGGCTTTGTTCCCAGCATCCATGAGGTCAGCAATGTCTGTGTAGGAAGTGACCGCCAGTTTCGACAGATCCTCCACATAGGGTCCAAGAAGTGGGTGTTCACGCACACGCAAATTACCCTTGTTTTTTGGATTCAGCAAATCTCGTACTCTTTCACAGTAAATTTCCATGTAGCTCACCTAGGAACATATTATTAAAGTGAATTAAAGGACCTGGAAAAAGAAACCACAGACAGCAAAAATATTGTTTTTAATTTTTATTTTTTGTAGTTGTAGATGGACAGAATGCCTTTATTTGTTTACTTTTATGTGGTGCTGAGGATCAAACCCAGTGGCTCACGCATGCTAGGCAAGCACTCTAGCACTAAGCTACAGCCCCAGCTCAAAGCAAAAAGATTTTTACAGAAGTTTTTAAAAAGCTCTACAATTAGGGATCAGCAACATTTACGAAGTGAAATGTCAAAGTTCTAGGCCCTTGGGGCTGGGGTTATGGCTTAGTGGTAGAGCGCTCACCTCGCACGTGCGAGACCCTGGGTTCGATCCTCAGCCCCACATAAAAATAAATAAGTGAAATAAAGGTATTGTGTCCAACTACAACTTAAAAAAAAAAAAGTTTCTAGGCCATTTTTTCTATTAGTAGTATGCACCCTGTGTAGGTTAGAACCCACCTTCTGACTTTGCAGGGAAGGAAGGTTTTATCTCTGGCACATAATGGTTGCTACTTGTCTTAGGCAGGAAAGATATTTTAGTAGCAATTTATCAGTTATCAATTTTAAATGTACATACTACTGTCAGTAATGGAAATTTAAAGTGAAGTCACTCCAAGGGTTGGAAAAAAAGAATTCTATCAGAGTTAAAACCAAGGAACAATATTAATATTCCAGAGCAGGGAGGACAAAAGACCAGTGACTAATTCTTTAAGACTGACCACACTGTTATGAACTACGGACAACATATATACCAGAAGGACTGAGGGCTGGCTGATAATTCATATGGCCTAATTGAGACCTAAAAAGAGGAGGAAACCTCAGAAAATAGATATTTCATAAATTCTTGTGTCACCAGCAGGACCATGCCTACCACGATGATGAATGAATTAGGCTTAACCTGAGGCAATTACACAATTTAGCTAATCAATTCCCTTCCAATTTCATGCTTACCAAACCACTACCAGGATTCCAAAAGAGGTTTGTGCACAGAAAGATAATAAACTAGGTCTTGCAAAGTGAGTGTTCTGGTCTTAGTTATTCCTCATGGAATAATAAAAGCCAATATATTGGGTTTCCTAACATCAGCCAAATGAGCTTCACTCAAGAGTCTGACTTTGAAGGATAGTTTTGTTCCCAATGTATCTATAAAATCAGCCTTCTAAGCACATAAGTCTCTGATCTGGGATACATTCACCATGGTAGGCCATTTTATGATGCTTCCCAGGAATGAGATCCTTCTGCATCACTGCACTACAGGAATACAATATAAACTGCATTTTTCAACTTAAATTTCTACAGACACATTTTCCAAGTATTTGCACTGGAACCTTATCTCCATTTCTACTGCCTTTCTCCTTTTGTCAGTCTCGATCTGTGTTTTTATATTGGTTTTTAAAAGTCAGTTAAAAATTAAGAATCCTGAAAGTAAATCATCTATTATGGGAGTAAAACAATAGGACAACAAATTTTGTTTCTGACAGCAATTCACACTAGAAAGTGAAATGACTTGTTTTAATCATGTTTGCCTGCTTAAATTCACACAATCCTGAACTCCCAGAAGATACATATATCTATCAAAAAGTTGGTCTTTTTCACTCAAATGTGAGACTAAGTGAACCCAAATATCTTGAGAGAAGATTAGTGTACACCACTGCTTATTCTCTACTATGTGAATCCATCCAAAGTCATTATTATTTATTTTACTTATGAACCAACCATGACAGACCTCACTTGGCAAATCCAATTCACCGACCATCTTCCAGACATAGTCTAGGCACCTGACAGACATCAATAAATAAAACAGACAAAGATGCTGCCCTTGGGACTGGGGTTATGGCTCAGCAGTGGATTGCTTGCCTCACATGTGCAAGGCCCTGGGTTCAATCCTCAGCACCACATAAAAATAAAGTTATTGTGTCCAAAAAAAAAAAAAATGCTGCCCTAGTGACTTTATAATTCTAGCAATGGTGACTACGAGGAACAACAAATGCAATAAGTAGATAGTTTATGAAGTATGTTAGAACACGATGAATACTGCAGGAAAAAGAAAACCAGAACAAGCGGGATTAGGATTGCTGGGGCAGAGTTATAGTGTTAAATACAGTGGTCAAGGTCAGTCTTGCTGAGAGGGTAAGATTTGAGCAAGGACATGAAAGAAGAGGGAAACTTAGAAAAATAAATCTAGGGGAAGGGCAGAGAGCATGGTTCAGTGGTGGAGAGCTTGCCTAGCATGTGTAAGGCCCTGCATTTGGTCCCTGCACTATAAAAAAAATAAACAAATAAACAAACAAACAAATAAATATATATATATATATATATATATATATATATATATATTTATTTATTTATTTATTTATTTTTTAAGTTATTAAAGAGAGAGAGAAAAAGAAATCCAGGGGAAGAACCTTTCCAGCGGAAGGAAGAGTAAATATAAAAACCCTGAGAAAGGACTGCTCCTGGCATATTCTAGAAACAGCAAAACACCAATATAGCTGAAGCAGAGAACAGAGAAAGAAGTAGGAAAGGGGGTTAGAAAATGTGACAAGGAAACATAGTATCCACCAGGGATCCAATTTGTACTTCAAAATAAGTCTGTGAACTCTAATTTGAAAGGAAATGGCATCTTCTTTTATTATCTATAAGCTCAAACACTGTAGCACCTGATTTAAAAAAAGAATGGTTATGGGATGAGCCAAGCTGTTTAGAAAATTCATCTCAACATAAAATATTCTTAGAGCACATACACTTTTTGGTCTATGATAGTCACAAGGCAGAAATTCATGCGATGCCTTATAGGTTAAAGAAAAACTCAAGGCCACTAAGTGGAATAATGAGGAATTAAGTCCTACAGAAAATTACAACACAGAGCAGGATGTAGCCTGGTGGTAGAGCACTTTCCTAGCATGTGTGAGGCCATGAATTCAATCCTCAGCACCACAAAGAGAAAAAGAAAATCACAACACATACTAAATAAATGTTATTAAATAGTTTGCTTAAAAGGCAGCTTAATTTCTCAGAACAGGCTCACTTTAATAAAACACCTCAATTTCAGTTACTATGAAAATGAATACCAAAAATGTATGTGTGTGTGTGTGTGTGTGTGTGTGTGTAACAGCAGCTTCAGAAAGCACATATGCAAATCAGGGACTACCCCAGATGTGCTTGTCACAACTGTAATCCCAGCTACTCAAGAAGCTGAGACTGGAGGAACACAAGTTACAGGTAAGCCTGGATAACCTAGAGAGAGCCTGACTCAAAATAAAATTAAAAAGGGCTAGGGATGTAAGTCAGTGGTAAAGTACTCCTGGGTTTATTAATCCTCAATACCAGTTAATGAATGAATGAACAAACAAGTAAATGTAATGTTGGAGGAACACAAATACAGAGGCCCCTGATTTCAACCACGGCTACACTCACCTCTACAGAATAAGACATCTCTTCATTGCAATTGTCATTGATCTTCTCAAAGAGCTCTTCACACAACTAAGGAAGCAGAATAAGAGAAAACATGAGTTGCCCAAATCAGAGAAGTACTGTTTTTCACAAGTGCTAAGTGAATTAGTAAGACCCCCTTTCTCTTTCTCTCTCCACATCATAAACCTCAAGGTAGGATTAACATTTTGAATGAAATTTTTTAAAACTTTGAATACGTTCTTCTTATATATCTATATTCTCCCTCAATAATTGAACCTTGATTTTGTTTTCTGAAGAAGAAAGTCACATTTGGGGGAGAAAGGGAATGTCAGCTTTTTACAGAAGTTGTATCACCATCATGGTAAACACATGTGAATCTGCTTCTGCATATTACTTGTGACTCTACTGTCAATATTACTATAACAATGAAACTACTAGGACAATATTTGCACTGATGTATTGCTGATGCTATACATCAATTTGTTATATTATCAGTGACTATATAGACTTATAGACACAGATGAAGAATGTATACTATTCAAATAAGGAATTTTTAAGAATAATCCTTCCCCTATAAAACTTTCCCTTTACTACTACATCAAGACTCCTCACCCTTATATGAGATGCTACTCTACTGCAAAGTGACATTTCTTGACAGGAAACATTAAATTTTTCTTGATCTGGAAAATTTTAAACTTCATCCTATCCCCTGTATTTCTTCTGTAAAATATGTGATATTTTAATAAAAACAATAAAAATGCTACCGAATTTTCATTTGCTATACTTTTAGCATAAGGCAATCATATACTACAATGGCAATCATACTTTAAAGCAATTTACACTTTGTGATTCTCTAGAAGTCTGAATGGAATTTGAAATTTACAACAAATGGTAATTTTGAAATAATAATTATATTTTAAAAAAACACGCTTTTTCATGACTGGGACTACTATATACGAAGAAGGACAATTCCTAAATACATGTCTTAATATAAACATATTTTAATTAAAAAATTAACCAGAGCCTCACACATGCTAGGCAAGTGCTCTACCTAGCAAATCCTAGTCCTTGAATAAATATTTGCAAAATAAAAATATCTGTTAAAGCAAGTTTTTTTGCTGTTTTATTTTTTACCTGGGGAATGATGCCAGCCTGACTTTCTTCTTGTTTACCCATCATTGTATAAGATTTCCCAGCACCAGTCTGCCCATAGGCAAAAATACAGACATTATAACCCTCAAAGGCATGTAAGAGCATTTCCTTTCCGATGTCATTGTACACACGATTTTGAGATGCAAAACAGGGATCTTCAGGCTGTAAAGATTAAAAACAAAGAAAAATAAATGGCATTCTATTCATAATCCATATTTATTTGATTGCTTACATAATAAATAAGTGTTTAGAATCAGAATAGAAACCCAAAATATGCCACACATTTTTAACTACCCACTACATGAAGGTTTTCTCGTTATTCTCATTCTTCTCCTTCCCGCCCAACTAAGCTCTATTAAGAGGCATCCAGGTCAGCCATGCACAAAAACTTCAAGGTGAAATTTATCTGGCATAATTATGTTTCATTTTCCATAACCTTATACTACTCTGTTCATAAGGAACTCCAAGAAGATTTTCTTAAGTAGAAAATGGGAATAAAAGATCAAAGGTCGGGTCCACATTAAAAAAATACTTCTTTGAACTCACTTAGCTAATGAGGCTCTTTTCAATAAACATAGCTTTCAGTGAAGAATGCTTACAATTCATTCCAGACTATTCCTTAGCAATTAGCTTTCGTTGATAGTTCTTTTTTTTTTTAATATTTATCTATTTTTTAGGTGTAGATGGACACAACACAATGTCTTTATTTTTATGTGGTGCTGAGGATCGAACCCAGGTCCCACCCGTGCTAGGGGAGCGCTCTACTGCTGAGCCACAATCCCATCCCTTGTTGATAGTTTAAAACATCTCTTACTCCTCAATGTAAAACAGGACAAACAAAAACTAAAACATACAACAGAGATGGATGGTACAAAAGCAAACTCCAGTTTAGAACAATCCCTAAAAGCCAGCAAACACTAGGGTCATACAGTGAGTAAAGGTGCCATGGTGGCCCCTATTCTCCATTTTCCTAGATGTTAATGATATCTTGTTTTCCTTGTGGATTTGCAGGTTCTTTCCAAACATTCAGAATACACCGATCTACTGTGATTAAAAGAAAAGAAAAGAAAAAACAAGCCAAATGTGGTGGCCCACAGCTACTCTAGAAGCTGAGGTAGGAGGAGCACAAGTTGGAGGCCAGCATCAGCAACTTAGCAAGACACTGTTGCTGGGGTTGTAGGCAAAGTAGAGTATTCACCTCACATGTATGAAGCACTGGGTTCAATCCTCGGCACCACATAAAAATAAAATTGTGTCCATTTACAACTAAAAAAATATTTAAAAAATAAAAATAAAAAAAGACTGAGGATAGGGCCGAGGATATAGCTCAGTGGTAGAGCAACCCTGGATCTATTCCCAGTAACACAAATCAAACTAACAAATGAACAACAATTTAACTGAGGTCATTCCAATCTTCCTAGATACATCTTCAAAATTTTAACTTAAAACTAGCAATACACTGGGGCTGGGGTTGTGGCTCAGCAGTAGTACGCTCCCCTAGCACGTGTGAAACCCTGGGTTCGATCCTCAGCACCACATAAAAATAAATAAATAAAATAAAGGTATTGTGTTCAACTACAAAAACTAAAAAATACTAAAAAAATTTAAAAAAAAAAAAAAACGAACTGGCAATACACTAAGCAGTTTGGCACTACCTAAGATCTGTAAGTACAGTAACATTCATAATGCAAATCCTAAAATACTTCTAAATAAATCCTCAAGGAATATCTAAATCAGAGTAAATTAGGTTCCATATTTAGTGTAAACTAAATGCTTATATGTATGTGTGTGTGTATGTGTGTGTGTGTGTGTATATATATATATATATATACACACACACACACACACATATACATATATATATACATATACATGTATGGGGGTACATAAACTTTCCATCAAATAAAATACTTTGTTTTATTCTTTAGATAATATTCACTATATCAAAAAAATGTAGTCATGGCTGAGCGTAGGGCACATGCCTGTAATCACAGCAGCTCAGAAGACTGAGGCAGCTAAAATGAGACACTAAGCAACTCAGTGAGACCCTGTCTCAAAATACAAAACAGGGCTAGGGATGTCGCATTCAGTGGTTGAGTGCCCCTGAGGTCAATTCCAGTACCACCACCACCACCCCCCAAAAAAAGTCATGCTTGAGCACACTTACAAACCAAGAATAAGACCAGCTCCACCAGGGAAAACACTAACATGAAAGTAAAGAGGAGGAAAGAAACTCACCGAGGTGTGAGACCAATAGGAGTAGTCGAAGCTGAAGGACTTTGGTGCTTCCTTTGGGTTCTTTGGGTTAATAATACCTAGAGGATGAAAATGTTTCCATTAAGTCTTTCAGTAACAAGTTCATTAATTCAAAATCATATTATACTATATGTTCAAAAATATCGAAATCAGTATATTCATAGCAATGAATTTAAATAGGGCAATCAAAACATAAAAGTATCATGGTGTTTTTTTTTTTTTTTTAAGTTGTAGTTGGGTATAATATCTTTATTTTATTTATTTAATTTTTATATGGTGCTGAGGATCTCGAACCCAGGGCCTTGCATACGCAAGGTAAGTACTCAACCACTGAGCCACAACCACAGCCCCCAAATGTATCACATTTTTGAAGACATAATTTACATATGGAACTTCAAAAAACTCAGGCCAACAACAGTTAAGTGGGTATTACCAGTATTCAGAACAGAGGCAAATACACAGTGAGTTCTCAGAAAATATTCTGTGATTGAATGTTTATCATCCTCCCTAGGAAAGTAGCAGTCAAAATTTAGAAATGAATCATGTTACAAGTTCAAGGTACCTCATAAAGTTTGAAATATGTCGACAAATCAGAAATAATTAGAAAAATGTTGCATTAATCCAACCACAATTTGTAACCAACTCTTTTTAAAGATCTTACTATCTACTTCAGAAAAGCATTTGAAAATGAAGCATTCATAGTTGAAATCCTTGGTTGACAATAATGAATATGTAAGTTATTACATATGAAGTATGCACATATATGTGTTTATGCAGTGGAATTGCAGACTACTAAATTTTCTGTAGAATGTTAAGTTACTTTTTGACTTAAAAGCATGAAGTCACTGCCCATATTAAAAGTGATTTGTCATTTAATCCACTCTAAACTTCAGGGGCTGACTGTGAAGCTTAATATCTTCCTTTTTCATACAAAGCTTCTGACTCCTCATATTTCACATGAAACAGAATCCTTGTAACATGTGGTCATGAAATCTGGAAGACTGGACATCTCAACAAATCTGCTTCTCTAAAACAGGGCCACATCCTAGACTATCAGTGAGATCAGGATTAAAAAATAAATCTGTCTCAGGCAGCTGCTGCTCAGGACACAAATAGCAACAGTTGCTATGGTGCTTAGCTCCCTCGCGCTCTCTCTCTCTCTCTCTCTCTGTCTCTCTCTCTCTCTCTCTGGATTCCACTGGGTACAGCCACACACTTACGTTCCAACCTCAAATGCTGACAGAGTATTAATAAGGCTCACACTGCACATAATCATGTGACAAGGGGACACAGTTCTAGAAAGAACATCTCTCAAAACACAAATGGTAATCTAAGCAAGGAAGTGGACTTCTTTTAAAAATATTTAATTTTTAGTTGTAGTTGGACACAATTCCTTTATTCCATTCATTTATTTTTATGTGGTGCTAAGGATCAAACCCAGGGCCCTGCGTATGTTAGGCGAGTGCTCTACCACTGAGCCACAACCCCAGCCCCAAGGAAATGTACTTCTAACCAAAAGGTACTATATACAAGATTTAAATAACTGCCAACATATAAAGAGCAGTTACTCATAGACAGAAGTATTTTTTGTTTATCTCTTTAATTCTCCCAACTGCTCAAGAGGCAAATGATTTCACATTCTCATTGTATAGATGAAACAGGCTCCAGAGCTCACACTTTTAGCCAAAGACCATCATTTAAATGCCTACTCTCTATGTCTGTGAGCGATGCCAAGACAAAGGACAGTAAGGCATTTTGTGTATATGCATAATTAAACCATTTCAAAATTAAACCACCACCCTTATTTAAAACTCCCTATCCATTTAAAACTGGGAATTACAAGGATCATATACCATTCAAACTCTACCAACAAAATGGAAATTAGCATCCCACTGCATGATCCAGATTCTGGATTTCAGTGACTTGGCAATAAGAACTCCATTAAAGCCAGGTAGGGTGGCACACACCTGTAATCCCCATGGCCCAAGAGGCTGAGGCAGGAGGTCCACAAGTTCAAAGCCAGCCATAGCAACTTAGCAAGACCCTCTCTCAAAATTTAAAAAAATAAAATAAAAAACAGGCTGGGGATGTGGCTCAGTGGTTAAGCACCCCTGGTTTCAATCCCCTGTGCAAAAAAAAAAAAAAAAAAAAAAGAAATCTGATGAGATGCAGGGTACTCCCTCTGAAGCATCTTTACCACTCTAAAACAAAACATTTCCAATCTCTGCAAATTTTTTTAAAGTCACATTTCATACATTCTTTTAGCTACCAACTTTTGAGAAAGAACCAATTCTCACATCCTATCCCATCATTGTCTTTTTTCTAGAAAAAAAGAAAAGTACACCACGAGTTAATTTTTTCAAGGTACATATGATCCTTCCCTCCTTCTCAGGATTCCCTTCTCCCAGATCTGTAAAAATTCTGATACCAGTTATTTTTCCTTATTTATATCTTCAAAACCAATCTACAATGGACTGTTGTTGTGGCTCAGTGGAGAGCATTTGCCTAGCAAGCGTGAGGCATTGGATTTGGTCCTTAGCACCACGTAAAAATAAATAAAGGTGGGCTGGGGATGTGGCTCAAGCGGTAGCACACCGCCTGGCATGCGTGCGGCCCAGGTTCGATCCTCAGCACCACATACAAACAATGATGTTGTGTCTGCCAAAAACTAAAAAAAAAAAATATATATATATTAAAAAAAATTCTGGCTCTCTCTCTCTCTCTTAAAAATAAATAAATAAAGGTATTGTGCCCATCTAAAAATATTTTTTTTAAATCTATACCTACCAACAATGAACACCTTTTAACATAAATATACAGTTTTTTTTTAAGAATTTTAATATTTATTTTTTAGTTATCGGCAGACACAACATCTTTGTATGTGGTGCTGAGGATCGAATCCGGGCCGCACGCATGCCAGGCAAGCACGCTACCGCTTGAGCCACATCCCAGCCCCAAATACACAGTTTTTTAAAGAAAAGTTCTTTAGGGTCTAGGGTTGTGGCTCAAGCAGTAGAGCACTTGCCTAGTACTTATGAGGCCCTTGATTTGATCCTCAGCACTACATAAAAATAAATACATAAAATAAAGGTTTTTTTTTAAAAAAAAGCTCTTTATAAGTCTGAAGATGGAGCTTTGTGGTAGAGTATTTTCATGGCAAGTGCAAGGCCCTGGGTCCCATCCCCAGAAATGCAAAGAAAAAAAAGCCTCTTTATATTTGGCAAACAACATTAAATTTACCCACAATATTTAAAAAGAATTCAATTTCCAAATGAGAAATGTAAGACACTTTAGAACAATATAGAAATTCAATATCGCTATTACCTCTTTCAGAAGGCACTGGTGATTTTTACATCTTAAAATCAGTACCTGTAGAGTTATTTTATTCTTTATAATTATGTATACATCATATAATTATAAAGAATAAAATAACTTGAATACATTTGTCCTAATAAAAAAATTTTAAACAATAGAACTTAGAAACGAAAAAAATTTTTACAGGGATAAAATCTCAATAACAGCATTTACACTCATTAAACCCTCTAAAAAAAGCCCTTAAAGGCCACGGTTATTTCCATGGACAATGAGTTAGTGTTTTTAAATATGCCAAACAATGTTTCTTGTTCTTCCCCACCGACCAATACTGAGGACTGAACCTAGGGGCTCTTTACCTGAGCTATATCCCCAGCCCTTTTCATTTTTTATTTTGAGACAGGGTCTTGCTAAGTTGCCCAGGCTAGCTACAAACTTGTGATCCTCCTGCCTCAGATTTTAAAGTAGCTAGAATCACAGGTGTACGCCATCATACCCAGCAGTATTTTTCTTTCTGAATTAATAATGGTTGAGGTCTACCTCCCTATCTCTAGCCCAATAAAGAAATTGGAAGATTCTGACCTAAAAGGGAAGGGGAAGGCCTGGGGTTGTGGCTCAGCGGTGGAGCGCTCACCTAGCATATGCGGGGTGCTGGGTTTAGTCCTCAGCACCACATAAAAAAATAAATAAATAAAATAAAGGTATTTTGTCTGACTACAACTAAAGGAAAATATTTTTTAAAAAAGGAAGAGGAGCAGCTCAAGAGGCTGAGGCAAAAAAAGCACAGGTTTGAAGCCAGACTCAACAACTTAGCGAGGCTCTAAGCTAACTTAGACCTTGTCTCAAAATTAAAATGAAAAGGGCTGGGGATTTTGGGCTTGGTAATTAAGTGCCACTGGATTCAATCCCTAGTATGAAAAACAAAAAAACAACAACAAAAGGGTGGAGGACGACAGTATTATTCTATCTTGTAATAGAACACTGGATTTGGAATAAAGGACCAACATCAGTGCCTACATATTAGTACATCATTTAATAGAAGTTTATAAAGAAATATTATACTTAGATTTTTGTGTGTGAGACTCTGGGTATTACAGTGCCCATCTTCTGCTTCCTGGCTGCCATGATGTTCTACCTCATCACAAGCCCAACAATAGACTGAAACCATGAGCCAAAATAAATCCTTCCTCCCTTTCAGTCGATTTTATCTAAACTTTTGTCACAGTCACAAAAAGCTAATGAACACAACCACACTGTAAATGATGAGAGATGTTAACTCATCAAATTAAGAAGCCAAATCCAGTGAAGGCTTATGACCAAGGCAAGGATTTTTAGTTTTACTCTAAAAATAATAAGAAGCTAATGAAGAATTTTAAGCAGAGGGGCAGCATATCTGATTTATACCTCTAAAATATGTCTGGCTACTACATGGGGACATGGGTAGAAAGCAGAGACAAGAAGCTATTGTAATACTGATTTTGGGTTAAAGTAAAAATGGTAAAAAGTGATTGAGGATATATTATGAAGGCAAAGACAACAGGACTTACTGATGGAATCTGTGAGAAAAAGGGAAAAGGCAAGAATGAGTATTTTTGATCTGTGCAACTAAAAGAATGGGTAATGAAAGAGCAGCCACTTCGGTTGGGTGAGAAAGGGGGAAACCACAGTTATGTTTAGGACATGTTGGGTTTGAGACACTTCTTAAGACTTTCAAGTAGAGTTAAGCTGGCATTGGGTGGACAACTCT